ATAAATTATTATGTGTCAATACAAAATTTATATAAATGGTGCGGTTTCAGGTAGATTTATCCAGAGTTACATCCCGATATTGTTGAGCCCATATAAATTTGGTTAAAAAAATATCTCCAAAAAAAAAAATATTGGTCATTGTAAGTTGTTTCCCGTTCATGCTGCGATAGCAGATGATAGCAGCCAATGAAATGTGGTACCCCAGTTATGTTTGTTGAGTTTCACCCCACTAGTTCGATTTATATATATATATACATATATATATAGCCGTTTTCCATAGCCCCCAACAGTCAAATGTGTCACCACCTTGATTGTTTTCCATAGCCAGCTGATCTTTCGCTGGAGGCGTCCGGAGATCGCGGAGCTGGACCCGGAAGAACGACTGGACAAGGTCTCCGACAAAACGACTGGCTGCCCTGGGTGACCAAGATGGTTCATGTTTTAACATGTTTTTGGCTGCCAACAGATTGTGGTTTTCCTATGGTTTTCACTATGGCTTTACTGTGTTTTACTCATGATAAGGTGAGAAAACATATTTAGAACAATGATGTAAAATGTGGTTTGAACATGTTCACATGTTCACAAAACGTGTTTCTGGAAAATGCAGGTATCCCACAATCATCATCAATCATCTCTAGTTATAAACCAACTTGGCCAACTATGTGGTACCACCTTGTAGATAGCCTCTGATAATTTGTTACAGGTTGCGAACCTGAAGATGGCCCATAGAAATAGTTGATTTAGCCATAAAATGATGATTTTCCGTAGTTAAACGTTTACCAGAGGCTAAACCACCATTTTCCTATGTTTTCCTATGATTTTCCCATTAAAACCCTAGGTTTTCCGTTGCAACTTTGGGCTAAAAAAGATGAATGGTTCGGAGATCCGTTGCACCGGCAGCCCTCCAGGTGCGGCAGTGGGCCCTGTCCTTGTCGTTGCCGCGGCTGGCACGAGGAGATGGGCGATAGGCTATAGGTAAATCAAATCAACTATTTCTATGTGCCATGTTCAATAGCTATGTTTGTTTTCCTTCATTTAGTGATATCCCAAGAATAAACATCCATAAATATAATCACTTTACATCACTTTACCATAGTTATATGGGTCTTAAAATGTGGTATTCTTCAATGCTCATCATCGTTGAAATTGCCTCCGTTTGACCCAGTGAGTTGGGGCTTGGTGGGACTTGGTCCATTTATAGCTGGGTTTATAACTTACCATCTGGTTATGACTAACAGTTTGCCATGGAAAATCACCATTTATAATATTATAATATAGGTAAACCATCGATTTCGATTAGGGCCATCTATACCATGGCAAACTGTTAGTCATAACCAGAGGCTACTGACGAACGTTTGAGCCTTTCCACGCACTGCAGTCGGATACCCCAAAGTTCATGTTGGCCATGGTGCAGGGACCACAGATTGACCATCCAATGATCAGGCTTTCACTGTAATTTTGCTTCATAAGCCATGTTAGCCGCTGGTAATGACTGTTACATAGCTATTGAACATGGCCCAGTCGAAATTGTGGATTTCCCCACGAACAAATTGTGGTTTTTCCATAGTTTTTTGATGTTTTTGGTAGTGATTTTTTCCATAGTTTTTGTTGTATGTTTCCATTGGGGTTAAATCCAAATGTTTGATGCTTAAATCAGAATCCGCTGATGCGGTCAGCATGCTTCGCATGCGGTCAGCGGTCAAGGAGAACTCGGAAGTTCCATCCTGAATTTGCCGCCGCTGCCTTTGAGGTTCGCCAGGGTAGGCTTGGCGCTTTCAAAGATATGACATGTATACTATTAACGTCCATTAACGGAAACAACAATTGCCCTAGTTGATTGGCTATTGTAATGAGTTATACCACCTGGGATTTATGGGGTTTGTATAAACCATATCAGGGAAACCTATCTTATCAGCCGGCTAGTATAATGAGATGGAATAAAGTTGTTTTAATGGCTCAAATGTGTTTGATGGTCCTGGAACGAATTTACGTTTAATCACTATGAGGGTAATTGTTCTTAGATATAAACTGGCTGATGGTTTCAGTTTGCTGTTTGTTTTTTTCATTTCGAGCATGTTATGATGTTCCTCTATCGACTTTTATTTCTTGTTCAAGGCGATTGTAGTGATAGGGCTACCATGTCTATAGTAATTAGTTATATTTTTTGGGGGTTTTCCCCTGTGATTCATCAAATTGTGTTTTATTTGGATTGAGAATAAAAACCTCCAATTTTTTCTTGATTCATTGGAGACAGCAAATTCTGGTCATGGGGAGACCAGGGATGCTTTGGGACCTGGTTGGGATTGGGCTGGATGGTGGTGACTGGAACCATGGAATGGAGTGGATGACGAACTCCAGAAACAGTTGGGAATGGAAAGAATATCATCCCAACTGACAAACTCACTCCATGATTTTTCAGATGGGTAGGGCGAGCTCAACCACCAACCAGCAATTTGATCTAGAGATTCTGATCTATGGGCCTTGGGGAGTCAATGTTGGCTACCTGAGTTTTCCAAGCACCCTGGTTGGTTCACAAAGATTCTGACCCAGAGACACCCTGTATCAAACCAGTGATTTCTAGCATAAGACCAGACCATTTTAGGGTGCACGGTGCAAGTTTCTGCTTGACGTGAACTGACGTGGCCAGGGCGCCTCGTTAGGTTCGCCAAGGCCGCCAATATCCTAAATTCATTCCTGCAGAAATCATGTTCCCTCTCGTTGTCCTAAACTGATGGTATACCCATTTTCAGGCGTACACACACAAGTATCAGATTTCCCTTGTCCCCGCAATTTGTAGAGCTCGCGAATCTCCAATTGATTTAGTTAACCCTCTCCTGATGGTTCAATGGTTACCCTCTGGTAAACTGACCTTTTTCTATTGAAAATGGCCATAGAAATAGTTGATTTACCCAGCTAGAAAATGGTGGATCTTTCCATAGTTTTTTATTAAATTACCAGCGGGTAAATCGCCATTTGTCATTGAAAAATCCCAACATCCTTTGCCCACGTCAGGGCGATGCCATCCGAGGCCAAAACGATGGGTCAAAATCGTCATTTGATGCCGTGCACATGGCATTGCTGGGGCGATTATAACCATTTCATTTTTGGGTATAAAATCAAACTCCTGCCCATGGCACGTGTGTTTTTATAATTATATATATATATATGGGTAAATTATATTATTTCGCTAACCTGAATAGTTCGGCCATTTGGGGATGATTCCCCTTCAAATACCATGATTCCAGTGAGGGAGAACAGTGAGGTCGTGATGAAATTTACCCAGATTAAATGATTGTAATGACTTACTGGTGCCAAACGTAGGGAATGGATGGGTTGCTGGGGGAATGATGGGATGATTATTACTAGTGATGACTGGGATCATTCCCGAAAATTCCCTGCTAAGCACCAGTAAGATGATTTTAATGGGAATATAGTGGGAATATGAATGGGCTGAATGGGATTAAAATATAACCAACAAGATTAACAATATCTGGTTGGTGGTTTGGAACATGAATTTGATTTTTCCATATATTGGGAATAATAATCCCAACTGACGTTCATATTTTTCAGAAGGGTTCAAACCACCAATCAGATATCATTTGCGGGTGCAGTTGGGGTGATTTTAATATAACTATGGGATTTTAAGCTTCATAAAATGGGATATGGGGCCCCTACAATAAAATTGGCCCCCACAAAAGTGAGTGGAACTGCACTCCACAATGGGATATGATTGGATACAACCAAGACTATGAAATACCCACCCCCAAAAAATATATGATATATCTTCACCATCTATGATGGTGATATAGTTGAGAGATAAACCATCCATAATGGTGATATGAACCAATTGAATTGTTGGGGATATGGAAGCATTAATCTGGCACTGGTTGATTAACCATTTGTGAATGGGGAAATTGGGGAGCGTATCATAGGATATTAATCAATATTAATAATATGAAAATGAGATATAAATGAATATTTGGGATATCAATATATCATGACTTTGGGATATAATTAATATAACATAATATAATATAACTAATAGACTAATAATAGTTTGCAGCAAATTCTTCTCCATTTGGGGATGTTTTTCACTGCCAATCGGATCCGTGGAACTTTACCAAGCCACACTATGGTACCCCAAGCAATGCATCTGCAGTTTCCCTAGACTCTAGGCCCTAGAGCAGCCAAAAACCCAAGCAATTGACACCTTGTTTGACAATAGCACAAGCATCCGCCACAATTCTTAATGGTTCAAGTTCCAGCCTAATTAACGCACTGTAGCCTTTTCGGCTGACCAAGCTGTGTTTTTTCTGACTATAGACTTGCATGGTGGGAGATGTGTCACAGGACTTGTTTTCAGGTTGTTCCCTTCATTGCAAGCACTGGATTGAGTAGAAAAGCACACCTCAGATGGTCAAACAACCTTGGACTCCTGAAACATCTGAGATTTTGATGTTCAGAAACTTCACAAGGACGACCTTTCGAAAATGGGTTGAATTAAAACAACCTGAAACTGGAACCAGATTTGAGGTGAAAATCTCACGAGTTTCCAGCATTGCTTCCCAAACACATCTATGCATTGTGAATGTCATCGCTGGTTAAACCATGTTAAATCCTCAATCTAGCCGCTTAAAACTCAACATCTGGCTGCATTTTGCCTGGCACAATGCACTGAAAGCAGCGGAATGTGTTTTTTTGTTGGATCTATGCATTCTGAGGAGCTCAACCCGTTGGGAATAGCTTATTGTAATTATTCATTATAGTGGTTGGTGGTTTGGAACATGAATTTTATTTTTCCATATATTGGGAATAATAATCCCAATATTTTTCGGAGTGGTTAAAACCACCAACCAGTGTATGTCATGTGTTGGTTGGCATAAAAACGTTGTCTATATTTCATAATATCACCATTTTAGGATGGTTAAACCATGTCAAATCCATGTTTTTTCATGGTAACTCCTCCAGTTTTAGATCGGAAAAGGACGACCCACAACTCAGCACTTTTCCCAACATCATGGCGTCGCAGCTGCGGCGCTTGCGGACCTTGCGGACTGCCCCATGTGTGCGGGGGCATAGGGGCCTGGGATGGTGGTGGCTTTGTGGGATGTTCCAGTTTATGGCAATATGACTGGGTACAACATGGTAAAACTATCAGATTTGTTTAATAAATGCGTGTGACATATGGGTTTATATGTAATTATGGAATCTAGCTCCATGTGATAAATCATAGGATTTGTTGTGGTTTCCTGGCTTTGAAACAAATGTATAGCTTGAAGATATTCCTCCTGGGTATCTATTTGCCTTTCCCGAAACAGAACAAAATCAGCTATATGCAGGGGTAGGAACCATACTTCTGGTAGTTTCACATGTATTTTGGTATTGAATTGCGTCATGGTGTTTTTTTTTGTGTGTGTGTTTTCCTCTTCCACTTCACAGTAGGGCATGTTAGAATGAGGCACCAAAGAAATGTTTGATGCAATCTCATTTTGCTAAATTGGGCCATCATTTTGCTGCTTGTTAAAACTAATTACAGATTTTGGTGGCAAAACGTCCATTTCAATTCGTTGAACAACAATTTCTTCAAGCGTTGCTTCAGGAATATTAATCAATCCAGAAACCCAACCAGCTCAAGAAACATGTTTTTCTTACTATAAATCCCCACTTTGGCTGCTTAAATCCCAGGTTGTAAGGATAGCTTCACCACGTTTTGTCCTCAGCTTCCCAGCATCAAGGTGAGGATGAGATTTTTGCAGAGGAGGCGCCAGGAATACATTCTGGGTCGGTGAATGGTGAATTTGGTGAAAAAATGGTAGTGAACACATGAGCAGCGACCAAAACCCCCATGAATTCGTTTTATCTTGGGCTTAAAGTAAGATGACCTCGATGTGAAAAACCCGCAGCGCAGAAGCTCCGCTCAAGCTTTCGCGGAAGGGGTCTGAAAACCTGCAGGGTTCGCGGAAGCGCTGCGGAAGTGAATTGTACTGCGGGACCGTCCGCGGAAGTGGAAACTGTGGCCGCGGAAGCGGAAACTGTGGCCGCGGAAGGAGCGCGGAAGTGTTCGCGGAGGACGTATGTTATGAAAGAACATGGGATGAAACAATTGATTTCATGGGAATTGTTCAACCCGTCAAAACATGCGAGTTAGAATTTAAGGTTTTGTTTGAATTATGTCGTAATCAAACCCTGACCAAACCGCATTAGATATCATTAGATGATATTAGATGGTTTGTAGGCCAATCATCCCAAACCTGCTTATCTCAGGTTTGTGAACGATAGGTTGTAATTTACCCAGGTGGCTGGTCTTGCTGCAGCGTTTGGTGAACCTTAATTACTCAGTTGGTACTTGATGAATACAGACCCAGCCTTTACTTGTTGCAATTCCCTAGTTGTATGGATATGTCAAACATGGGATAACCGCAAAAATGGATCGCCGAAAAATCCATTGGCTATTCATTGTCTTCCAATTGAACATCACGCTTCAAATTCTAGTAGGTCATACCCCTTCCAACTGGACAAAAAACTTCCAAAAACTCCACTCCACGAAGTATTACTGTCACTTAGTCACTTGGTTTTTGTAAAGTATTGAAGAAATCTCACTTGCTTGCAATCCATTGTAATCCACTAACTGTTTTAGTCACTTGGTGTAATCCACTGGGGTGAACCGCCCAACTGCCTCTGTTTTTTCACAAAGCTATGCTGTGCCCCACAGGTCAGTCCAGACTTGGGGAGACGAGGAGCCACCGGAGCCGGTTGTTGACGATAGCCACGTGGTGAATTTGATGGTTTTTACGGTAGATGGCCATGTAGATAAACTATGATAGACCTAGATTTATATGGATTTATAATGATTTATATGGATTTATATAACTAGAATTAAATATTGTTCATGGGATTTATCATGGGATTTATTCTAACTGAAAAAACTGGGGGCCTCACCTTGTACTTCTAGGTTGATCTACTGTAGGAGACATAGCCACATGAGGCATTGGAGCATTGAAATAGACACATATCATATAAGTATCTATATTGATTACTGTATCTATCTATCCGATTGGTACATATGTTCAAAAACCCATTGTTTTTTTTTTTAAGAAAAAACATATATTGACATATTGATATATTGGATTATACTGCCTCGTCTGTAGGGCATTATCACAAGCAAGCACAGTTTTGTAGACATGACAAAGATGGGCATGGATTCGATCAAACTTGATGTACCAATATTTTGAACCATTGGAAAAGTGTAAAATTTCAACCAGTCATTTGTTTGAAGTGTGATAGTTTTGACCCATGCAGCTCATGTGTTTGACCATAAAAATCATGGATTCTGCTATGATGCCTATGATCATGGGATATTCCCTTACATAGGCCTTATATACGGTAGGTACCTCCAATTTCGGTTCCTGAAATGGCCATTGATATGATGCCTGGTTTTCATTTTTCGGATTATGGAAACCTACTTTCCTCTACAAAGTTTGTTGGGGTCGAGTTGCGCATTGCTTGCGCAGCACGGTCAGGAGCCTTCCATCTTTCGGCCAAAGACTGCCTTCAAGACCGACGGGTTGGGAATTTTGAGGATCGTCAGGTAATGAAGTACTGGTTACCTGAGCATTAATGGCTGGTTGGTGGTTTCAAACATGTTTTATGTTCCATTTCATATATGGGATGTCATCCCAACCCCATTGACTTCCACTTCATAATGTTTCAAGATGGGCACATTGCACCACCAACCAGCCTTTATATACCATGGTTTCCCTGTTAAATCACCATTTTCCCATGGTTTTCCCATGGTTTTCCCATGGTTTTCCTATGGTTTTCCTATGGTTATTGCACCAACCAGATGGGATTCTGGTTGGATCCCAGGGATCCCAGGGATTGTCGTTGGTGAAAACGCCCTTGTCGTTGTGAAGCCGTAGAGAATTGGGTCACTTATGATGTCCCCGCTTGGACAAAGCCAAATCCCTTGTGTAGCTATTCATTGGTGAAAAACATGTGAAATCTCTGTTGTTTGATTTTCCACATTTATCATGCAGATATACATATCCCTGCCATTCCCTGCCCGGGAATCATCCCCAAATGGCCTTAATTCAGGTTAGTGAAATATTATAATTTACCCATATATATATACCTGCTGCTCCCAATGCAGCATATTTCATATGTCATTTTCTAATTCCTATGGTATCAGACCTCTAACCTGGGAATTCCCTGTCTGCCGCAGAACAGGCGTTCGGAGGCGTTCGGTGCCCTTGGAGCCATTTGGGCTTGGTGGATTGAAGCATACTATGTAGAGTGCCCAATTGAGGGATATACCATGGATATATCCAAAACACAATAGGATAGCACATGATAGCATCTACATCATCTATCCCAAAAACACAACCCTCTAGTGAATCGCATCTTCACCGTTTTTTGGGGAGACCTTTGCAAATAGATCTCAGAAATCGAATCCACCTTAACACTTTCCTGGCAACACCACGGAAGCCATTGAATCAGACTTTCTCCTTTTGAGCCATCCCGTGCATGGCTCATCGGCCATCGCCAACTTGGCACTTCTCAAAGGTGCCATCCCCCCTGTGCCTTTGCATGCAGGGGTCACCAAGGGTTTTTTTCATTGAACATTGTGAAACAAAACATAGTGCATCATGAGACAATTGCAATGATAGCGTCACAGCTAGATTGCTGATGATTGCCACGCTCTCTGTTTTTGATATGCTTTAATGCAATCAGCATCAATCAGAACTATGCTGATCTTCCCACTGTTTTTAAATTTCGGAAGCCTCAGATTCTCAGCTCATTCATTCCCATTCGAAACCTGCCAGTGCAATTGGCTCACACAAAGGGGGATTGGTTCGCTGAACATGGCGAGTCCTTCAGTCTCTTTGGATTTGGGGAAGGATGCAGCAGTCGTCCCCAAAGAAGTGGCAGAGGACTCATCAGGGAACTTTGTGGGCTTGTCATTACTTTGGGACAACACGCCCGAAATCAGGCAGCGGCTACGTGATGGAAAAAACTTATTGGTTCACTATGACACAAAGTTGAAGAAGGAAACCAATTTTGCAGTGGAGAAAACCACACCCAATGTCAAAGCAAACTGTGCGGTGCTGAGACCCGTGTGCAACCTGATCAATATGAATGGAAGAGTCCCTGACATTGAAGTCTTGGAACATCAAGTTCAAAAGGTGTTCTCACTGTACAATCTCAATATTGACTACAAGACGATACAGGATCAAGCTTGGGCCATCCGTCATTTGATATCTACACTCAAGGGCAATGTGCGACCGCCCAAGCCAAACGTACCTCCACGGTTTCCCAAGGAGCACAGTGCTAAAACACATGATTGGTTCATCATTTTTTATTCATGGGGTATAGTCTTATTGTACGGGTGTTCCATGGTCAAACATTCACTAGATGGGATGCTATGGATCAACCCCGCTCTCAACCACCGGACTCAACGCCTCAGGACAAAGATCTGCAAATGCTTCTGTCCGAGCTTGGTATCCTGACAGTCCAGGACATTTCAGGGTGGCAGGTTGTGGCCCCGGGCTGGCCAATCTTTATAGAATGACCAGCTAACTTGATACTTGTGCTACAACAATGATATGTTACAAAATCATGTGGCCTACATTTCTTCTCAGAGAACCCAGTAATCAAGAACACCCTATCATATCCCATGACCAATCTTCTCAGGAGGATGGATCGGTGGTGGTTAAGCAACGGGCTTCTGACGCCCTGCAGGACTGCCAGAGTATAGCAGGGGTACATAGGGGTATCATTCAAAACCAAGTCCAACACCATGATTTTAATTTTGGGGACAATCCTGTATATCTCAAAGTGTGTCATGGACAATCTCATGAATGGTGGGAAGGATTTACAACCATGTCAAGCCAAGAAATGTTTCATCATCGTATACCCGGAGTGCACCAAACACCTTTCAGCTGTCACTGCCAGGACCCTGGTCATACTGCAGCAGCACCAGCAGCTTCGCAGCAGGCTTTGCCAGCGCCCGAGAACATGCAGCCAACTCAAGCTCATTCCCCAGCAGCTCCAGCCATGACTGTTGACAAGCCCACGCCAGCCATGAGGATGAAACAGTACTTGGATGATGTCAAACAAAACAAGCTTGGTTTGAAACACAACGTCCTAGATGAATCCACACGACTGCAAGATGAGTTTTTCAACAAAGCCCTGGATGAAGCGCAGCCAAAGGAAGCAGCCAAAGCAGTGCCAGTGGCAACACCAGCCCGAGCAACCACTCCAGTGCAAATGGCAAGCCTCCCCGTTGCCGTCCCGGAGCAACAGCCCACATGTGTTCCAACAGCAATGGCGGTTGAACCGGAACCTGTAGAAGTGACCCCATGGCAAACATATGACGTTGAGATGCAGATGAACAACCTGCATGGCCAACCTGTTTCAGAAACAACAGGAACTGATGAAACAGCCCTGTCAAGTACCAGCGGGAACAATCACGGAACCCCAGCTCCACCTCAACCTCATGCCGAGCAGCAACAGCAGCCAACTGTGAGCGAGATGCTAGCTGAATTGATTGAGGACTTGGGGGTACCACTGCGGCTGGGCTTGGATCAGCTTCTATTGTGCTCCCGTTAGTGAGATCAACATATGTTTAAGGCATGTTCCAACTTTAGAGAAGACACATTCGCAATGACATGTTGTTTCAACCCCTTCCCCTCAGTGCTACAGCTGTTACTTACAAAATCAGATGTCTTTGGATATGTGTCATCCCACGGCAGCCCTTCAAAAACTCTGACCCCGAATGTCCTTGGCCACCGTCTGCCAAACGATGTCCAGGATTCTGATGAGGAGGCTCCTGCCGCGGCTGTCCCTTCTGGTGGTAACGAGGAGTGGGGTGGGTGCCAGTTGTACATATAATTTGCGTGAACCATGTCTTCAAGAAATTCTAAGTCAATTGCAGGAATTGCACATATAACTCATATAACAATTATAAGCACATGGTGTCAACATGGTAGGACCCCTTCACTTAACCATCATGTCGAACCATCATGTCGATCCATATTGAAACAAAAGAATTGAAGTTGACATCTGATGACAGTTGAGATTCTCAAAATTGGTTTTAGTGAATATTAGTGGATCATCCCATCAAGAAACCACGATCTCGGGTTCTACTGATCATCGCTCCAGGACATTGTGGACAAGAGCGTTTTGGTGGATGAACTGCAGGAGATTCTCAACCAACTCCACTTGCCACTTAGATCAATAATTACACGGGGTGTGCTGGCCCAATCGCCTTCCAATCATGGGTGAACATGGTGTTGTTGAACTTTATTCATGTTTATCATTTTTCAAGATTGGCCGAACGTAGATCAAAGAAGCGAATGACGACTAGGAGCCTGTGGTATCATGTGGTATCCACCCTACATAGTCACATGTTAACAACTTGCCCGCCACTTATTCTGAGGTCCAATGGGGCATTGAATCCTATGGTGAAGTCCTGCACGGCTTTGGCGAAGCTTCTCTCCCCCGTTGGAGGTTTCTTTGGATGACAATCGTGGGTGGGAACACATCAAAACATATGGGGATAGTATCTCAGCCCATTGTCTTTCCACTTTATTATCAAGATGTCCTTCACTATACATAAATGACAGTATGGTTCACAAGTATGACAATTGCAGGGTTTATTGTAATGATCATGATATGTCATGATGGTGTTCACAACATGTCATGGTGTGGTCCATGTGGGAGGTGATGGTAACCACCGTAGTGGTGACAAATGCGATCATGATAACAATGGTTGTAATGGAACCTTCGGTGATAATATTGATGGTTACGATGATGGTTATTATACTGTGTAAATTTTGATATGTTCGATCTGATTTTGGTTATTATGCCTTTGTTGATGATGGTGATGATGATGGTGTTGGTTCGGATCATGGTAGTGGTTACCATTATTAGCGTGTCACGATCGTCCTGGAAGTTATTTTTTGGTGCAAATACCAGTATATAAATCCTGATTGCGTTCGATGCACTTTTGCCATGATGGTGACCAGGAGAATGACAAGTAAATCACTACTGTGTTGATCATAATGTTGAGCATTATCATTGTCACTTGTTGTCACCACCACGTGATCATGATCATCCTGATCACCATCCTAATCCGTATTATCATCATCATTATGATCATCATGGCAAAAGTGAATATTACACCCATAATGTATTGATATTTTGAGGATATAGGGCGCCTCCAGGACGAATCATTACATGCTCATTGCTCACCGTAGGTTACGCTTCATTATCAAGGTTGTGTTCATAAACATATTCATCACAGTTTATCATCAAATTTACAATAACCACCATCATCATCACATATCCTCTCAAACATGATCACCACCACTGCCAGCATCACCATCATCATCATCATCACCATGATCAACAACAGCATCTTTAGTATCATTATCATATGGTCTTCATGAGCCTTATATATCATCATCTTGACCACTGTAATCAATAACCATCATCATTGTCCTCACCATTCTGGTCTGGTAAGGACCTGATAAACCACTTGTGGTTATGGATTCC